AGGCTGAGAGCATGTGACTTGCCCAAGGTCATCCAGTGGGTTTCATGGACAAGCAGGGAATTGAACTCTGGTCTCCAGAGTCACAGTCCAACACTCAAACCACTATGCCACGCCGACTCTTAACTATATTAACTACTACACTGGATCTGCTGTTCCAGGTTCCATTTCCAAACTAACGCTTAACGGAAGTGTTCAGCTACCAAAATATAATAGTGTTTTTATATCTCTGCCCATAGGTTTCCAGGAGGCTTACACATCAGGTCAAGATGTTGAGATGTTGAGTAGTACCTGCATGGATGTAATTACTTTAAGCACTGCTGCTTATCCATGCATCTACATAGGAAATTAAGAACAACCAGGATAGAAAGGAGAAAGGGAAGGGAGGGGGAAAGGAATGTAGCAGTACCTTTTAGATTAACTCATTTTTATTCTGCATGTCCTTTCGTGCATATAAACCCACTTCTTAGGATGCAAAAGAAATGGCTTTATATCCACAAATGCTCATGCAAAAATAAAAACCACTTAAAGGTGTTGCTACATTCCGTTTTTCCCCCTCCGACTCCCTTCCTCCTTTTTATTCTGCAAGAAACTAATACAGTCACTTCTTTAAGATCAACCAGAGCACTCTTGCTTTTATTTCAGCTTAGAAAACATTTGTCACAGAAAGATCAGGAATTTTATAAAAGTTGTGCTGAGCACTGGGTCATCTGTACAAATTGAGTTACTAGTTAAAAATGATTCTGAAATGCTTCCACATTCTAAATAAACAAAGCTTTTAAAACCATGATGGCAAAACCTTGAAAAAGCATTCCAATTGTATTCTAAGCCACATGTCAAGCCCTGGTGGCCATATTTTTTCTGGGATCCTTGAATATATTATTTCAGTTTCTTACATTTTTTTCTGATTGTTCTTTTCTTGATCCTTTTCAGATTGTATTCCTTCCTTGACACTCAGCAAATGCAACCCTGCCCCAGATTCCTAATGATCTTTATGTCTTAACTGAATGTTTCCCTTGTGTTTCGATTCTCTTAGCTTTTTGTTTCACTTTGATACTGTTCTCTCTTTATTATCTGGACTTTGCTGATCCTGTCTCAGGTTTATTTGCTTTTTAAGTAACAGTCCCATACTTCTCTACAAGTTGTCCTTTCTTTTCCTCTTGTCCTTTGTCTGTCAGATTTTCCTTAGATTTTGTCCTTCACAAAGCTTTCTTTCAAGGCCTATAGCACAGTGGTAGAGCACGTCTCACATACAGATAGTCCTAGATTCGATTTCACAACATCTGCAACTAATGGATCTGAGAAAGCATGGCTGAGAAACACATTGACCCAAAGCCAGGAGAGCACCAGGAATTCTGATGGGCAAATATTTGGCTAGAGTGACCAACAGTTTGACTCAGTACAATGAAGCTTCAGACATTCATATATGAATGTGGTGGTTCAGAAGACCTCATGGAGAATGTGGACAAACAAACAAAACCAAGAAGGGTTGTTGTATCTGGTTAGTACACAGCTCCAATGCAAGATCTCAGCCATAATTCCCAATGATGTCAAGATACAGGCAGAAGATCCAACCATCAGAAAGATACTCCATGCATTCTGTGCTCCACTCAAAGTATGCACATCCACTACTTATGGCAGGGATAGGCAACTTTTTTGAGCCAGGGGCTGGGTTGCTGTCCCTCAGACAACTGGGGGGCCGAAGCAAAAATAAATAAATAAATAAATACATTTTAAACATTAAAAAAAATGCATGCACACTCTCTCAGCCCTAGAAAACCCATGATGGCAAAACCCTTGTGGAGATTTTGCTATGAAAACCCCAAGTACAAGTAATAACAATAATCAATATCATCACGGTGGGCGGCTGTGGGCAGCAGGGGTTGGCGGCGGCGGCGGCGGCAGGACCAGCTTGGGGCCGGTCCAAAGGCCTTGGGCCGCAGGTTGCCTACCCCTGACTTATGGGGTTGAACAGAGATGTGCTGATACTTAGAATAAGTCCCTTGAAACCAAAGGGATTTAAAAGTAGTCTTGACAAACAAGTGATTGATTTTAATGAATCAGCTTTAGTATGAGTAAGGCAGCATCTGCACTGCAGAAATAATGCAGTTTCACATGGTTTTAACTGTCATGGGTCAATATTATGGGATTCTGGGACGTGTAGTTTGGTTGGGCACCAGAGCTCTCTCTGACAGAGAAGACAAAATATCTCACAAAAGTACTAATCCCAGAATTCCACAGCACTGAGCCATGGCAGTTAAAGCAGTGTCAAACTGTATTATTTCTGCAGTGCAGATGCAGCCCAAGTCTGGATCCAACCAAATGTGTGCCATACTTCCAGCAAACATGAAGGCTGAGCATACTGATTGGAAAATATACACCATTCATTGTCCACCTTCCATATATCTGCATTGTCTCCATGATGTCTGATGACTCAAACATACACAACATCTGGAATGTATACACATTCTATGTTCAATTCACATACAAAACATATGTAAGCCATTCACCAATGGATATTTTTGGGAGAAATGTAGCTAGCCAAATAGATCAATTAGGGCAAAAACACTAAGAAGATACAGCATGAGCACATGACATTTTTTATCATACTTAACCTCAGCAGCAGATTAAATAATAGTAAATATTCATCAAAGCCCTTAAAACAGTTCCACCCAGAAACAGATTTTTTTTTTTAATGGCCATTACAGGATATATGTTTTAGGAAGGAGGTTTATGTTTCTGAGGCCATGTAACTTAAGTTACACATTACACATGAGAAACTAATGCAAGATGTATTTAGGTTTTTTACTAGTCAGTAAAGTTTAGGAGATTATTTTACAGATATGGTTATTTGCAAGAAACTTTATATTTTACACGTAGTACTTTTAATGCTACATTATCATAATTATTGACTAGCTCGAACCATTTAGGAAGAGAATGACTTCAAAATCTGACCACTATGAAAGTCAGCCAAGCTTTTTGTACACCAATTGCTCACTTCTTAGCAGAAATTACCCTGGCTTTTTTTTCCACCTCATTAAAACACGCAGAGTTGTGAGGTCATTAAATATCATTAAGAAAAGCAGAATCATTACAAAATGTAATTTTAATTTAATTTCCCTAGTGAAATGTATATAGTAAAGGGGAGGTTAATAAAGGTGTGAAAATGCAGCCAGGGGAAAAAGGCCCCTTTTAAAATGTAATTAACTCTTTCGTGATTCAACTTAATTTCAAAATTAGCTCATTTTTCCCCCAGCATATCTCGCTCCATGTAATAAGTGTGAGCAAAATATAATAGAAATTCTTGCTAAAAGCAGGTAAATGCAGCCAGTGGTGTCACTAGGGTTGGCAGTAGCTCATAGACCTTCTCACATATCACTCCATACAGAATCCTTAGTAATGTTTTTGTACTAACATTACTCATAAATTGCAATTCCCATATATCACTGAATATATTGAAAATAATTGTGACATAAACAACTAGCAAAACTAAAATGATACCTTTAATTTACAATATCCTATGCACAGCCTAAATGTATTTACATGTACATAGTTTCTTATGGTTCAAGTAAACATTTGGTAAGATGTGATGCTTTTAAAGCCATTTTAAAAATAATTTTAAAATTTAAGAATTTTTTTAAATTGTTAAATTTTAAATTTTAGAATTTCAGTTTTAAAAAACCCAGATATTTCTCCTCTCTCTGAACCTTACCCCACTCACATCATCTCTTTCACTAAGCTCCAGCATTTTAAAGGGACACAGGCAAACACCACAGCCCATTTCTGCCAAATGACAGATGTTTGGGTAGCAGTGGTGTCACCCCTCCTTAGGATGTCACCTGCTATGGTCCACACTTGCCGCATTCCCCTAATGACATCCCTGAATGCAGCATTTTTTTCAAAGGCGGAAAAAAACCAAATAGAAAGTCATCAGGATTGATAGTACAACCCTGTACGTATTTACTGAAATATAAGATCCACTATGTTAAATGGCAATTCCTTCAAAATAAGTACGCACAAAGCAGTAACTGATAAGTGTGCTATTTTTGCTAAAGGTTCAGAAACTGAAAGTTGCATGTGTCCCTCTTATTTGTCCTAGGCTACAGACCAGGAATGAGACTATGCAGCCTTCTACATGAGGCTGGGCTGTAGCTCCCAGAATTGTTCATTGCCGCTATATTAACTAGAGCTTCTAAAGTCTGCAATCCCACAACATCTGAAGAGCTCTGTGATTCCTACCCCAGATGTAAACAAAGAGAGCAGGAGACTGCCAAGAGAAGGAGAGGACTGATCTCCCCTACATGCATCAATTATGACAGCTCAGCTCATGCAAAACTTCAGTTGTGCATAACTGTATGCTGTTGAGCCCATTGGAAACCAGGAACATTATTACCAACTGTCCCAGAATTTTAAAAGTAGATGGCCACCCTCTCCCTGACACAGGGCTAGTCCTCACTGGAAAAATAGAGTGGCTTCAAACCAATTGGAAGCCTACCAATTTATACGATGGAAAGGCCAAACTGGGAGGAAACTGACATGAAGCCATGCTCTGGAGTGAAAAACCAGAGCAAAAAGAAGGCCTGGTACTCTGCTTTAATGCAGAAAATGTGCATCATCAAACAAGCATCTGAACAGCATGGCGTGAGTGCAGGAATGGAGGAAACCCCAGGCAGCATAGAGAAATGATCTGGAGCATGCACCCTGGGACCAATGGGACACAGCCACCGGCAGCATTTCTCACCATACTTTTTTTTTT